CAGCAAATCCACTCTCAGGTATCTATCCATGAGAACTAAAAACATATGTCTTCAAAAAAAGGTATAATACATAAATGTTCATAGCAGCATTATTCACAATAGCCAAGAAGTAGAAACAATTCAAATGCCCTCAACTGGTGACTGAATAAGCCAAATGCAGTATATATATAAAACAGGATACCATTCAGCAATACAAAGGATGAACTACTGATACATACTACATCATCAATGAACTAACCAAAAACACTTGTTCAATGAAAGAAGCCAGACATAAAAGATGCATGAATCATTTATAGTCAGCCCTCTGTATCCATGGATCCAATGGAAAATGTTTGGGGAAAAAAACAATAAATAATATACCAATAAAAAATACAAATCTTTAAAAGCAGTGTAACAACTATTTATATAATGTTTACACTGTTTGGGTATTTTAAGTAATCTGGAGGTAATTTAAAGTATATAGGACAACATGTGTAGTTTATAGGCAAATACACCATTTTCCATAAGGGACTTAAGCATCCAAGGATTTTGGTATCCATGGGGGTCCTGGAACCAATGACCCATGAATACCGAGGGGTAACTATCTGAAATGTCCAGAAAAAGTAAATTTATAGAGAAAGAGGATTAATGGTTACCTGGGACTGGGAGTGGGAATGGGGAGTGAATGCAAACAGGCCAAGGCATCTTTTTTTTAGGTCTTGTAAATGCTCTACAATTGGATTGTGGTGACAGTTGCCCAATTCTGTAAAGTTACTAAAAAGCATTGAAATGGGTGAGTTTTATAATATATAAACTGCATTTCAATAACATTGGTTTTTTGTTTTTTTAAGAGATGGGGTCTTGCTATGTTGGACTCAAACCACCAGGCTCAGGTGATCCTCTGCCTCAGCCTCCTGCATAGCTGGAACTACAGGAACACACCACTGCAAGTGGCTTAAACTTGTTTTTTTGATTTTAAAGAAAAATCAGCGTCACCAGATAAAACCTTTCCAAAGCTCTGCTCCTGACTAGAGAACTGCAGTGTGGCCTCCAGAATATAACATGTTCACAGTCCTGCCTGGCATTCAGGCCCTGAGTCTGGCCTCGCCACCTGCCACATCCTCAAGCATCCTACCCTCCTTGTGGCTGCCAAGCATGTGGGCTTTGGAGTCAGAAACTCTGAGGTTCTAGCTCTGTGATCTTGGGTTACTTGGCCTCACTGAACCTGTTTCCTCACTTCTGAGATGGGGATAATGACCTCTCACAGGTGAGCATGTGGAATTTCTGGGGTGATGCTCTGAATAGAGCGGGCACAGTGCTTAGCACAGAGTGAATACGCACATTCCTCATACGGCTGGCTCAGGCCACAGTCAACGTCTCCTCCTGAGAGGCACTGCCATCCCACCTCAAGTAGGCAGCCCCAGTAGCCTTTGCACCCTTTTTGTTTCCTCCTTAGCTCTTGAAGCTCTTTGAGTCTTTTGCCTGTGTTTCTTCCTTTCTGGTCAGTTCTCTCCACTGGGCTGAGGACTCTATGATGACAGCGTCCTCGGCTTTGTCCCTCATTGTCTCAGCAAGGCCAAGACCAGTAACATGAAGCCAGTGAACATTCACTGAGGTAAGGAATAATTGACAGCTGCAGGTGCAGTGCTCTGGCACAGGGCCTCTCTGGCAGAGGCACATTAGGGGACTCACTTCTGTGTCTGACCACATCCTTCCTGATCTTGCCCTCCGCTGTGGTTCAGAATCAGCCTCATGGGAGCAATGCATGATGGTAAAGTCAATCAAGCCTAGAGAGGGTAATGAGTCTGGAGTGATTGGAGCAGGGGTGGGCTCGGTGGTGGGAAGGGGGAAAAGGCTGGTGAACGGTGAAGCAACCAACATCAGCAAAATCACCAAATAGAGTGGCTCACGCCGAATGGAGGAGAGGGAAAGCAGACACACACAGGACGTGACTACCATGTGTGCCTTCTCTCACTGGAGGATGAGGTTAAATGTACTGGTTGAAACAAAATCTTTACCTATTTCACATGTTTTCTCTGAAAACTAGAGTTGAATATAACTGCAGCATTTTGCATTAATTAAATTTCTTTTACCATCCATGGAATTATGGTTTGAACACACTTTGTGAATTTATGCAAATAACTATGTAAACTAGCAAGACCTAGCACTTTTTTTTTTTGAGACAGAGTCTCACTCTGTCACCCAGGCAGAGGGCACTGGTGCAATCTCAGCTCACTGCAACCTCTGCCTCCTGGGTTCAAGGATTCTCCTGCCTCAGCCTCCCAAGTAGCTGGATTATACAGGTGCATGCCACCACACCCGGCTAACTTTTTTATTTTTGGTAGAGACAGGGTTTCACCATGTTGGCCAGGCTGGTCTTGAACTCCTGACCTCAGGTGATCTGCCCACCTCGGCCTCCCAAAGTGCTAACAAAATAGGCATGAGTCACCATACCCAGCCACTAACACTTAATCTTAAAGGGACTAGAACACTATCTAGGACCAGGTCTCAGGAATTAAATACAAATGGTCATTACGAATCTTCAACTTGATCTAAAGAAGCTGGGGCAGATCTTCTTTGGCATCTACCGCCCATTAAATTAACCGATTTGTTCACTTTGGCAACTGTTTTGTTGATGTGGCAATCTTTTTCACTCCCTTGCCTAAAGACAAGGTGAATTCCTCAACCCTCAAGTAACTTTGCTAACAGAAAAAGCCCCTACACCATAACACTTCACTACCATCATCTCCTTTGTTCAATCTTCCTCTTTCAAACCCAAGTAGAGGGAAGGATGTGGCTCTCATAACATGGGGCTGTGCATCTCACTGGGCACTTCTGGACAAGTCACATAGCCTCTCGGATTAGTTTGCCCAGCTGGAAAAGGAAGTAGTCACCAAAGTTCCTTCTAGTTTTACTAGTCTGATAAAACTAAGTGGGGTACCAGCATCCTGTCAGGACAGGTACAGGTATTGTCACAAAATGTTCAGGCTGCCTTGCATATACATCATGGGGAGGGGGAAGATTAGTGAGAAAAAGTTGTTTTTTGCACCTAAAACATCTGGATTAAAGTCCCAGAAGTTACTCAGGTTAACACCTTGGGCATATTCCTTAACCTCTCTAAGCCTGATTCTCCATCTTTAAATAAACAGAATTGATATTTTGCAAAAGTATTTAAGAGAACTAGAAATAAAATGTACTTTTGTCTTATACTCAAAAAAGATGAAGTTTCCAATCAACTTGGAAGAAGGTACCCCAGCAAAGGCACTCCCCTGAACCTCTGAAGACTCCAACTCAACTTTCCAACATTTCCCAAAACAAGAGACCAAATCACAAGGGTGGGAGCACCCAAACAGACCCAAGCATATCTTTCTAAATTCCAACTCAGGTTCCTCCCTCTCGGCCTTCCAACACAAGCCATCTCCTCCCCATTTAATCCTTGCCACAAGTGAGGTCAACAAAATTATACGACACCTAGCAAGCACCAAATGTGCCAAGTACTCTGCTAGGCTAAGAACAGAGGCCCCCACAAAGCACTCTTTGTGTTTCCTTAACACTTTCACAGACATCATCTTATCCTAGGCAGTACCTAGGATATATACACAACCATTTTTTTTTTAATGTAGCCATTGAGGCTCAAGAGTTTTTCACTCAGGGTCACACAGCTAATGAACACCTGCCAGACCTCCTGAAGTCTTTCTGAGCCACCTGCCTAATTCCTCCTTAATTAACTAATTCACCTGCACCCAGCTCCGTGCATTTCATTTAAAGCTGTCCCTTCTACTGGGTTCATTCATTTCATCTCTCCACAGTTGCTTACAAAGCATCCACAGGTGTAGACACAGGTGTAGAAGGAGGCAGAGCACAGCAATAGGTCCTGGAGTGGGCTTGTTTCAATCCCAGCTCTCCCATTTGCTATTTACATGGCCTTGGATCAGTTCCTTCACCTCTCAGTGCCTCAGTTCTCCTTAATGTATAATTATGAGCTAACAGAATTCTGCTGCTCTCATAGGGCTGTTGAAAATTAAATCAGTTCCTTATAAAGGGTTTAGTCCAACGCATGGCCCCTACACTGGAATAAGAGCTGCTTTTATTCTTCTGGGTTCTGGTACAGTCTTCAATCAGACAGAAACCTTAGCCTCAACAAGCTTACACTCTAGCGGGAAGCGCAATAAACAAGTAAACAACTATCAATAGAAGCTTCACGTTGTAATGAGTGCTATGAAAATAATAAATCTGTGACAGTGTGGAAGGTTACTTCAGATTGGGTGGTCAGGGAAGGATTCTCAGGTGATATCTAGGCTACACAAGAATTACAAGAGCAAGCAGGATGCAAGGAGAACTGAAAGAGAGAAAACAGCCGGCGCACAGACCCTATACTGGGCCAGCAGCAGCCTCCAGGAAAACACAGCGGTCCTGAGGCTGGGGACGAGGTGCGAGTGCCACGTGAGGGAAATAGTCCGAGATGCGGTCCCAGAGGTCGGCGGGCACCAGCCAGCTTTGGAACCAGGGAAGGCATCATCCAAGCACCCTAGGAACCCACGGGGGATTTTAGGCAGTGAAGGGGATCGGATCTGAGCTAAGATTTTTCCAGACCCCGCAGCTGTGCTGTGGAGAACAGACAGGCGGGGGAGAGCGGAGTCCCCAGGCAAAGCCCAGGTGGGAAGCACCGCGTACCCAGAAACGGAGGCTCGCACCTGGGGGGCCACGGGGCTGCCAGGCTGGGCGCAAATTCAAGAGAAGTAAAAACTAAGCCGACCGGAGAGGGGACGTGGCCTGGGCGTCTCTCATGTCCTGGCGGCCTCGCACTTTGTCCCGCTATCCACTCCTTCCCTGAAGCCGGTGTCGCGAAGCTCCAAGGCTGCCAGCCTCCGGCTCGCGTACCGGCGCAGCTTCGTCCTGGCCTGAGCCCCGGCGTCTCCCAAACCCCACGTCCCTCACGCGTGGAGGGAGCCCTGGCCCAGCGCTCCGCCCCGCACCTCCCCCGCCCGCGTGCCCGCCCCGGCCCAGGCGGCGCTGCTCACCCTGACGCCCTGCAGCACCCGGACCCGCTCCTCCTCGTCCACTCCGAAGGACACCCTACGGCCCTCGCTGCTCTCCGTACTCCCCATGGCGAGCTGCTGGCGAGCGGGCAAGCGGGCAGCCACCCGACCTGGGACCCGGCTCCGGAGTAACCGGGCCAACAACGCTTTCCAGGACTCGTGCAGCCGCGGCACTCGCCAACAAAATCACGTTCTATTGGCCGCCGTCGTAGGCTCCACCAATCGGATGGCTCGGAGTCGCGATGCCTTTTGGGGGTTGTAGTCCTTCCGTTTGTACGGGCGGGGGCGTGGCGGTCAGCGCCTGCAGAAGTGCGTTAGGCTGAGGCCAAGGATAGGTACCAAGGACAGGGACACGTTCTGGCTTTGGGAGTTCACCCTTCAGGGAGAGCCGAGGGTGATGTTCTGAAGCCAGTAGACGCCGAGACGGCGAAGGCGCTCATCTGGAGGCAAATTTCTGAGGGTTCACCACTCCATTGATTCAGCAAACACGTGTAGAGCCGCAGGGGCTGAGCGCCAGGCGAGCAAGGACCAGGCCCTCGCACTACAGCACCCTTCAAGACAGCGAGTGTTCCACCCTTGTGAGGTTTACCGTGCAAGGGAGGAAACAAGTTAAAAACCAAACATGCATCCATGTAAACTGACAGTACACAGAAAACTGCATGGTGATGCCACTAGTGAAATGAACAGAAGGAGGCCTCTTTTAATTTCAGTGACCAGAACAATCTCTGAAGAAGCAGCTTTGAACTGAGCCCGAGGGAGAGTAGGATTTATACAGGAAAAGGCAGGGGAAGACATTTTCTGGGACTCTCAAGAAGGAAAAGAGAAAGAGCGTCCATCCCATGGCTGGAAAATGAGAAGAGGGCAGAGGAGCAGTAAGACCCAAATCATGTCGGGTCTTGTGAGGCAGGGTCTGTGTGTGGGTTTTATTCTAAATGCCGCGGGAGGACAGGGAATGGTCCTAAGCATTTAGGAGGCATTGCCCAAGGAGTGTACATACCATGTGTGGAATGCAGTGTGCCAGGCACTGTGTGTAGGCTTCTTACACAGGACCCTATGTATAAGGGAGCACGCAGATGGTTGCCATTCATAGACACTGCTACCTTCAACTAAGCCCCTTTTTGTCCCTCTGAGATGCTGAATGGCTTTGATTTGCAAAAGTGTGCCTGAAACCGAGCTGGGCAACACTAGATGGAGCTCCTTTTGGCAACTTGGAAAGAAAGGGGTGAGGAGGAAAGGATGAATGAGAAAGAGCAGTAAGGCTCTGAGACTCAAAATAGCTCAGTGCAGAGTGAAGAAGCCAGTAAACATACCAGAGATGGTGTGATCAGAGAATCTTTAGGAACAAAGGTTTCTGCTAGTTGCATTCAAAATACTTAATTGGCACGCCCCACTCCACCCCCTCTGTCCTCCACTTCTTCCCTACAAGCAGAGCCAGTGTAGGGGATTCTGGTGCAAGTGGTTTCCTGGGGGAGTACCTCAGAAGAAAGGAAGTGAGGGAGACAGGCTAAGAGGGGTAAGGGGTGGGGGGCGCAGGGAAAACTGAGTAAAGGTGTGGTCAGATCTGGCCCTGGGCTGTCCTTTGTCTCCTTTCCTTGGAGGTTTATGATTACTAATTCAATCTCCTTACTAGTTATTGGTCTGTTCAGATTTCCTGTTTCTTCAAGACTCAGTTTTGATAGATGGTATGTTTCTGCGAATTTGTCCATTTCTCCTCCTAAGTTATCTAGTTTCTTGGTGTATAATTGTTCATAGTAGCTGATGATGATCTTTTGTATTTCTGTGGTATCAGTTGTAATGTCTCCTCTTTCATTTATACTTTTGTTAATGTGAAGTCTCTTCTTTCTTGGTTAGTCTAGCTAAAGGTTTGTTAATTTTATAGATCTTTATTGTTGATCCTTTCTGTTGTTTTTCTAGTTTCTATTTCTGCTGTCGTCTTTTTTATTTCCTTCAGTCTGCTAACTTTTGCGCTTACTTTGTTCCTCTTCTAGTTCCTTGAAATATAAAATTAGGTTGTTTTACGTCTTTCTTTTTTCTTAATGCAGGTATTTCTCGCTATAAACTTCCCTCTTAAAAATGTTTCTGCTGCATCCTATAAGTTGTACCTTGTGTTTTCATTTTCATTTGTCTCAAGATACTTGTTTATTTCACTTTTGATTTCTTCTTTGGCTCATTGGCTGCTCAAAAGTGTGTTGTTTAATTTCCACACATGTGTGAATTTTCCAGAATCTTCCTAGTATTGATTTCTGACAACAAATTATTCAAAAAGAAATTAAGAAAACAATCCCACTTACAATAACACCAAAAAGAATAAAATATGAATAAATTTAACCAAGGAAGTGAAAGAAAGATTTACACAAAAAATTGTATACTAAAAATTGTAAGACACTGTTGAAAGATATTGTAGGAGACATAAGTAGAAAGATAGCCCATGTTTATAGATCAGAAGAATTAATATTGTTAAAATGGCTATACTACCAAAAGTAATCTGCACATTCAATATAATCATTATCAAAATTCTAATGGCATTTTTCACAGAAATAGAAAAAAACAATTTTAACATTTCATCTGGAACCACAAAAGACCCCAAATAGCCAAAGCAATCTTGAGAAAGAAGCAAAAAGCTGAAGGCATTATACTTCCTGATTTCAAACTATATTACAAAGCTATGGTAATCAAAGGAATATGATACTGGCATAAAAACAGGCACATAAATCAATGCAGAAAAGCAGAGAGCCCAGAAATAATCCCGTGCATATATTTCTACTAATCTTTGACAATGGTGCCAATAATATGCACACTATGGGGAAAAACAAGTCTCTTCAATAATTGGAGCTGGAAATACTGGATAACCACATTCAAAAGAAGAAAATTGGACCCTTGTATTACACTATACACAAAAATCCATTCAAAATGAATTGAAGACTTAAATGTGAGATCCGAAACCCCAAAACGCCTAGAAGAAAACATAGGCAGAAAGCTTATCATTGGTCTTGATGATAATTTTTAGGCCATAAAACCAAAAGCACAAACAACAAAAGTAAAAATAAGCAAATGGTACTACATCAAACTAAAAAGCTTCTCCACAGCAAAGGAAACAATCAGCGAACTGAAAAGGCAACCTGGGAGAAGATATTTGTGTACTATGTATCTGATAAGTGCTTAATATCCAAATATACTGTATAAGGAACTCACAAAACTCAATAGCAAAAATAAATAAAAATCTGATTACAAAATGGGCAAAGGACTTCATTTTTCCAAAGAAGACATGTAAATAGCTAACAGGCATATGAAGAGTGCTCAACATCACTAATTATCAGAAAAATGCAAATTAAAACCATGGTGAGGATCACCTCACGCTTGTGAGGATGGGTATTATAATGAAGACATGAGAAGTGTTGGTGAAAAGAGAACCCTGTATCCTGCTGGTGGGAATGTAAATTTGTAGAGCCATTATGCGAGAAAGTATGGCAATTCCCCCAAAAGTAAATACAATCTAGTAATCCTATTTCTGTGTAGTTAACTTTAGCCTAAAGCTGCTTCCTTGTAAGTTCAGCCTAAAGGTTTCCCCATAAATAGTGAGCTGTTATCTAACTGGATGTATAAACAGACTATAATCTACTCTTGTAACAGGTAGCCAAGTCTCAGCCAATCACAGAAGACATACTTCAACTACTCACAAGTGGCCAAATGCTCAGTGATCAAATAAGTCTGTAACCCAGCTATAACCAATCTGGCTATTTCTGTATCTCACATCCATTTTCTGTATGTCAATGTCCTTTCCTTGTCCGTAAATCCTCTGCGGCCGGGCGCGGTGGCTCAAGCCTGTAATCCCAGCACTTTGGGAGGCCAAGGCGGGTGGATCACGAGGTCAAAAGATCGAGACCATCCTGGTCAACATGGTGAAACCCCGTCTCTACTAAAACTACAAAAAATTAGCTGGGCATGGTGGCGCGTGCCTGTAATCCCAGCTACTCAGGAGGCTGAGGCAGGAGAATTGCCTGAACCCAGGAGGCGGAGGTTGCGGTGAGCCGAGATCGTGCCATTGCACTCCAGCCTGGGTAACAAGAGTGAAACTCCGTCTCAAAAAAAAAAAAAAAAAAAAAAATCCTCTGCAACCCCACTGGCAGCACTGAAGTCTCTTTGAACCTATTCTGATTTGGGGGCTCCCTGATTTGTAACTTGTCCTTTACTCAGTTAAACTCTTAAATTTAATCAGTCTCGAGTTTTTCTTTTATATATCTAAATAAAATGAAATCTTGGCAATATATCTGCTCCCATATGTCCATTACAGTATTATTCAAAATACCCAAAGCATGGAAACAAGCTGTGTCCATCAACAGGTGAACAGATAAAATGTTTTACACACACGTGTGTTTTCTTCAGCCGTAAAAAAGAAAGAAATCCTGCCATTTATGAAAATATGGATGATCCTGGAGGACATTATGCTAAGTGAAATAAGCCAGGCACAAAAAGACAAATAACTGTTTGATCTCACTTATATGTGGAATCTAAAAACGTTGAACTCATAGAAGCAGAATAGAACATTTGATACTAGGGACTAGGAAGTGGGAGCAATGGAGAAATGTTCAAAGGGTACAAACTTTAGTTATAAGATGAACAAGTTCTGGCCAGGCATGGTGGCTCATGCCTGTAATCCCAGCACTTTGGGAGACGAAAGAGGGTGGATCATTTGAGGTCAGGAGTTCAAGACCAGCCTGACCAACATGGTGAAACCCTGCCTCTACTAAAAATACAAAAAAAAAAAAAAAAATTGCCGGGTATGGTGGCAGGTGCCTGTAATCCCAGCTACTCAGAGGCTGAAGCAGGAGAGTCTCTTGAACTCAGGAGGTGGAGGTTGCAGTGAGCAGACCTCATCACTGCACTTCAGCCCTGGCAACAGAGCAAGACTGCAACTGAAAAAAAAAAAAAGAATGAATAAGTTCTGAGGATCAAAAGCACAGCATGGATGGTGAGGGATTTGTTAATTTCATTGTGATAAGCATTACACAATTTATACGTATATCAAACCATCACATTGTATACCTTAAATATATATAATCTCGGCCAAATTTTTTTTTGAGACATGGTCTCACTCTGTTGCCTAGGCTGGAGTGTGGTGGCACCAACACGGCTCACAGCAGCTTTGACCTCCTGGGTTCATGCAATCCTACCTCTCAGGACTAT